TATATATAAAATTTCATTCTTCTTCCTAGATTGCTTTGACTATTTGGGATCTATTATGCTTCCATATGCATTTAGCATTACATTTTCTAGTTCTGAAAATATAAACAGAATTTTGATATTGTATTAAATATATGGATTATGGATTACTTTCAGTAAAATAATTACTTTTACAATATTAATTTCATCAATCCATGAGCGTGAGAGAGCTTTCTATCTTCTAGAATCTTCTTCAATTTTTTTCTTCAGTGTCTTAAATTTTTATTGTAGGCATGCAGGGTATGTATTTAAGATGTTTCTGACTTGTAGTTACCAACTTTCCTCCTAGGACTGGCATGGCTGTATACCAGAGGTTCTGGTAGCCTGAGCTTTTATGGTCATTTGATTCTAGCAATTTTTTATTTTCCTTCCTGGTTTATTTAATGACCCACTGATGATTCAAGGGTATATTACCAGTCCCTGAATATTTTTGTAGTTTCTCCAGGTTTGTTTTTGTTTGTTTTGCTATTATTGCCTGGCTCTATTCTGCTATTATCTGAGAAGATCCAAAAAATTATTTAAATTCATTCCCATTTATGTGGTTCTCTTTGTTGTTTAGAATGCAATTAGTATTAGACAATGCTCTGCGGGCTGTATGTTTCAGATCTGTTAGGTGAAATGTTCTACAGATATCTATTAAATCCTATTGTTATGAGAAATAGTTTGAAGTAGCTTTGTTGGTTTTAGTTGGATACCTTATCTAAAGATGAGAGTTGGATATGAAATCATGTATTATTATTGTATTAAGACCTACTCCACCTTCTATGGTTATCAGTATTCTCTTCATGAAACCAAGCCCCCAAAGTGTGGTGCATGTATATTTTATTATTTGTATGTGAGTGTGTATGTGGGTGAGTTGTTCCCTGCATTAATATGTGATGACTTTCTTTATCTCTTCTGATGACTTTGGTTTAAATTCTACTTTATCAGATATCAGAAAGCCCATACCAGCTTGCTTTAGAATTCCATTCAATTGATAAATTGGATTCCATTCTCTGAGTCTCAGTCTATGGGTTTCTTTGCCAATGTGGTATTTTTCTTTTGTTGTTGTTTATATATTTCTTTGTTTATGGTATATTTATTACAGACACAGATAGATTTTTTTAAATCCAATTTGCATCTTTTTGGTGAGTTGCTGTCATTTACATGTAAGGTTATTATTGGGAGATGTTAGTTTAATTCCTGTCATTTTATTAGTTGTTTTTCTGGTTGGCTGGATTTTTTGTTGTTATTTCATTCTCATTACTTACCATTAGAGTTTGGTGATTCACTGTGCTGAACAAGAGGTGATTCATTCCTAGTATTCTGTGATCACTGCTTCCCCTCAAGGAATTTATTCTGCTGTGCGCTCATGGTTGAGAATGACTTGGTTTCCTCCTTTGTATGTGGTGTCCTCAATACATACTGTACATAACCGCTGCAGTGCTGGCTTGATGGTCATTGACTGTCTTACTTCATCCTTATCTGTAAAAGCCCTTATCTCGCCTTCAATTTTAAAAGACAATCCTGCTTGGCAGTTGTTTGTTTTCAAGACAATATATTACTCTATGCTTTTAGTGTTATTAATGTGAAATCCAATGTTACTCTGTTTCTGTCTTGGTCTGTCATGGAGAGATTCTTCTCTGATCATTACCATTTAGGGTTCCAAAGGTCTTTTCTGTTTGAATATCTACTTCTTTTCCTATAGTTTGGATATTATCTGCTGTCATTTTAATGAATAAATTCCATATGCCTTCAGTTTTATGTCAGCATTTTCTTCTTCCCATACATTCTTAGGTTTGGTCTCTTGATTGCATCCCAGAGTTCTTGGTTAGTGGGGTCATGCTCAATTATTTTTTCTTTATTGCTGTTTGACTGTAATCATTATCTTTGTCTTCCACCTCGGATTGTCTTCTTTCTTCTTGGTCAAATGCACATGATGCTGCCCACTGTTTGTTATTTGATTAATTGATGGTTTTTTTTTTTTTATTTTTTGTCTGTTTGTTTTGTTTTGTTGGTTTTTCAAGACAGGGTTTCTTTGTGTAGCTTTGGAGCCTGTCCTGGAACTAACTCTGTAGGTCAGGTTAGTCTCAAACTCACAGAGATCTGCCTGCCTCTGCCTCCTGGGTGCTGAGATTAAAGGCATACACCACCACTGCCCGGCTTGTTGAGCTTTTTATTTCACACACTGTAGCATTTATTTTTAAGACCTCCAACCCCTTTACTGAATTTTTCTTCCATGTTGTTGACCTTTTCATTTATAATGTTGATCTTCTCTCCATTTCCTCTTGTTGCTAAAATTCGTCTCCAGGTCCCAGACAATTTCATCTGCCTGCTTGTATCATCCTTGAGGTCACTGATCACTTTTCCTAGTAAACTTTTGAAGACTTTAGTCAATAGATTCCCAACTTCAGTATCTTTGAATTCACTGCTTAAGGAGTTATGATCGCTGGGCGGTGGTGGCGCATGCCTTTAATCCCAACACTTGGGAGGCAGAGGTAGGTAGTTCTCTGTGAGTTCGAGGCCACCCTGGTCTACAAGAGCTAGTTCCAGGACAGCCTCTAAAGCTACAGAGAAACCCTGTCTCTTACTTCCATTCCCAGTGGCTGAATGAGGCCGATTCTCATCCTCCCAATAACCCCCCAGACTGTGCTCTAACAGAGGTAACTAATACTCTGTCTGTGCCTCCCACATACACTGGGAGTGTGGAAATCAGTCACATCACCAAGATCTGTCCAGGTAGAGGACCTGCTGCTCTTCATTGAAAAATGCCTAAACACTGAGCTCCCAGCAGGAGTCAGCAGACAAGGGGGCTCCAGGGTTTGATCTACCCAGTGGCCTCCGCCTCAGGTGCTCTCATATTCCAGTGTTACTCTCCATTCATGCAAGCCTCCCTGTCATGAGACACACCTCCCTGCCCTGTCCTCCAGCTCCCAAAACTGTTTTACCTTCCTTGTGCTGTGACAGGTTAAATCCAGGCTTTCTGACTTGGCTCATTTCCTGTTCCTGGCGGAAGAGTAAAAGCAGGGAGACACCAGTCACTAGATTTTCTTGTTACTTTCAAGCAATGACTGAATTCAACTAGTGGCAAGGGTTCATTATTATTATTTGCCGAAAATATACTATAAGTCTATAGATATTTTAGAAATAATTTCTTGGAGATGGGAAATACCAAAATAATTTTAACATTTTAAAACTATAATTTCTGTTTAGAATAGCCCACATTGTTAAAATGCAATGTTGACTTCCTTAAAAATATTAGTAAAGAATATGTAAGTCCAAAATATTTGCATGAAACAGGCATATAGACAAATTATAGAATCCATTAATAAACTCAAGCATAGACATAAATTATAGAACCCATTAAACTCAAGCATAAATATTCAACTAAGCTTCAGCCAGAGAAGTAAGAAGACACACTATGAAAAGGCTAAGCTTTTCAATAATCAGAGGAGGCAGACAAGGACACTCACATATTAAAAAATGAAATTTAACTTTTAGATAATACATAATCAACTCGAATGAAAGATTTTAATGTAGGCTAACACTGTAAGACTCCTAGGAGGAAATGCAGAAGATCTTGGCAATGATTTTTTTTAATAAGATGCCAGAAAACACAGACAACAAGAGAAAAAAGAAACAAATGGAATTACATCAATCAAAAACCAAAAATCTCCCAAAGGCCAACAATAAAACTAGAAGGTAGTCTAGAGATGGGGTAAACATCAGCAAGCTACTCACCAGCTATGATGTTAAATATCCAAAATAGTGAAGAACCTCAGGCCGCACAACAAAATAAGAAGGGATAACCCACTCCATTAAGAAATGGCAAAGGACCTGGATAGATTTTCCCAAAGCAATGGCATACAAGTGACCAATAGTTATATGAAAAAATGTTCAGCATCATTATTCATGAGAGGAACCCAAATCCACACCACAATGAGTTGTATACTGTTGAACACAAATGTAAACTGATTTAACCATTAAAGAATGTCAAATGAATTTTCTCAGATCATCAAAATAAATTGCCATATGATCAAGTGTCATGCTTCCAGGTATATGTATTATGAATATGTATACACACACATACATACATATGCACATAAGGCACACTCAAGGAAAAATAATAAGCAACTCACAAAAATCCGCATTCTCATGTTCAATGTCAAATCATCCCCAACAGTCAAGATAATGAAATAACGTAACCATTTGTAGATAGATAACTGCACAGAATGAGTGTACAAACAATGGAAAATTAGCCAGCTTTGAAGAAGTTTGTGACTATGTAACAAAATTGATGAACATGGTGTCAAAGGAACTGCACAACGATTTTTTCTTAATACTATATATATAACCTGATATTGTGTGAGAAAAGATTTCAGAAAAAAAATAAAACAGACAGAAGCAGTGGTGACAAGGGCTGGGGAATGGCGTGGAATGTTCAGGTGCATATTAGACGATCCACAGTCTCATTTATAAAAGATCAGTGAGTCTAGAGCACACGTGCACACATGTACAAGAAGACAGTTACCAAAACCTCGGTGAATGCTGGAAATGTGTAGGGAGTGCGCACATACAGTGTAAGATGAGAGAGCTGTTCACTGACTTGACAACAGTAATCATTGTATGTCAAAATATCATGCTGAGCGGGATAGGTATGCACAATGGCACGCACCTATAATCTCAGCATTCGGAAGACTGAGGCAGGAGGATTGTCATGAGTTTGAGGTCAACTTGGGTTGCAAGTTCAAGGACAGAGTGAACTATGGAGTGAGCTTGTTTTAAGACAAACAAAAGTGTCTTGTTTTAAGACAAACAAGAAAACAAATAACCCCCTCCCAAAAAAATCATGCTATATACCTTACATATGTCCAATAAAATAATACAAAGTATGGACTGTTTTGTAAAAGAGAAATATGAAGATAATAAGTGGAGAGCCCTCCCTCGTCAACCTTTTCCCTGGATGCTCTGAATAAGTGGTGAGTCCTCCCTGGTCAACTTCTTTCCTGGATGCTCTGAATTCCTCTAAGCCTATTGGTTTCTTTTCTTAAAGGAGAAAAAAGAATGAAGAATTTGAGTATTGAAAAAATGTCAAAATTCTTGGGAAAATATTTTGCATAGACGTCTTTTGGGAAAAATAAATCAAACAAACAAATACTTTTCTTTGAGAAGCAACCAGACATCTTTGTTTTCATGAGTGAGGTTTTGTCAAGAACATATTCAGAATCAATAAGCTACAAAGTTCTTGCATTTGTCACTGTAAGTAGCTTAGCAATCAGGATGCCTTGAGTCCTACACAATCAGAGGCGGGCAGGCAGGCTACCTCTAGCATTTCCACACAAAGCAACACTTTAACACCATCAGATGACAGTGTTCCAATCACCCCAGTTAAAGTTAGAAGCAGTCATTGGAGTATATATGAGAGAGACAAGATGAAAGAACCTCCAAAGGTGTTAACCCGATGGAAATGAAGGTTCAATGTTAAGGACATTTTGTCCGTCCAGGAGGACAACAGAGTTGACCATTGGCAGTCCTCCTAGGGGTATTCATTTAGGACTGTAAGTGTTGGAGCTCAGCGAAGGAGCACAATGCAGAAGCACCACCCTACCTACCCATAGCAAACCCTTAGACCTGCAGTAAATGAGGAGGCCTGCGTTGAAGCATGAGGCTCTGAGACAGATCACTATCACACTGACACTGCTGCTCAGCAGAAAGAGAGGTTCAGAAGTGCAAATGTCAAACATTCTATGGTAAGTCAAAGGCAGAGCATCCTACCCTCATTCTACATAAACACACTGCTGTGCCTTACAGTATTTATTTACCCCCCTGTTTGTCTCAAAGCTGATTTGTGTGAGGTCTTTGTAAGCAGTCACTTGTTTCCTCTTACAGTTTGCCTGAGGTGAATGTAAAACCTTTACTAAATGGCCATCACATTAAATGAAGTCATTCCATAATAAAATTACCATGACTATTGAAATGCTGAACATCTTTATAATATAGAACATTCAGATAAATGAAGTAGTATTATGTCTGTGCAGTAGTGGAAGAGAAGACAGCCTGGCATGACGTAGTCAGAGGGGCCACAGTCCCAACAATAAGAACTTCTTGAATTTCAGACAACACTCTCCTCCCCCACACCAATTGTTCTGCTCTAAATTTAATTCTACTGGAATTTTTTTTTTACTGTAACAATCTCGCAATGTAGGGCATAGTGTCTTTAAATACAGTCCTAAAGAGAAGCCCTAATAAATCACTCTTTTGGACAATAGCCATGTCTCTAGTATAAACTAGAATAGAAAGATAAATGGCTCTGTAGAGGGCATTCACCTAAATAGGGTTTTCCTTGGTGACAATGACAATCTCCTCCCTGGGTCATGGGGTGTGATGGAACCTCTGAGGTAGTTGAGAAGTCAAGATCTCAGTGAAGTGACTTGGAGTCCTTTGACTGAACACCCTTGCCTACACTAATCTTAATCAAATGTCAAAGACATCAAGAGAAAAAGACTAAGCAATTGATTTTAAGAGCTACTTTCCTTTCAGGGTAAAGCAAACACTGGTGATGGAAACAAATTAATTCAAACTGGGGAAGGAAACAGCCAGCCAATAAAAGGCAAAACCAAGGGCAAGGAGTTTGACTGAAGAGGGACAGATGAAGCACAGTGAAGTCAGTAAAGTCAGGGGAGAATGATTCCTGGGGGGAGTAGAAAGGGAAAGTGGGAGTTGGAATCTATAAAAAGCCTGAGTTCTACCGGGGTTCATGAATGATAACTACAGGGAAGTGACTTCATCTAAGACTAATTCTTCAATTTGTAATCTGGGTGTGCACAATCGCATCTAGTGGGAGTTTATACTAAGCACACTCAAATATACATGATCAAGATGTGGGGGAAGGGTTGATGAAATAAGACAACATTTTGCCTTACTAAACTTTGTTCTATGCAGACCCTCAAAAAGAGTCATTTATCTTACCAAGTTTGAGTCAAAGAAATAGCAACAACCCCCAGTGTTCATTGGGAGCATACTGGAATATTCAAGGAAGAGAATTCCAGAGAGTATTTTTTACTATAATTTTTTTCTCCTCATGCTCTGTACAATCCCACCTCTAAGTAAAATGCAACAGAAAGTATTAATACCCAAGTGACTAGCCCAGTGGGTTCATATAAGAAAATAATAACATTGAAATATGAACTGGCACTGTGCAAAATAGCAGTGCCATGGAAAGCGCCATGTGAAAGAAATGTGTATAATCACCACCTACGAGCAAATGCTCTTCTATAGAACTCTGGGGCATAACACAATGACTGTGGGTCTCTTTTTTAGTCACTCAGCAAAAGGAATTAGCCACCAGGCAGTGATGGTAAGCACTTTTAATCCCAGCACTTGGGGACAGAAGCAGGCAGATCTCAGAGTTCAAGGTCAGCTTGGTCTACAGAGTGAGTTCAAGGACAGCCAGGGCTAACAAAGAAACCTAGTCTCAAAAAAAAAAAAAAAAAACAGCAAAAGAATTAGCCAAGGAATGCCATAACTGCTACTTATTCCATCAACTAGATGGCAGCAGCATCTGGGCTCTCTGAGGTTCTTCAACAGAGATGTCCTCAAAATTGGTGCTACCATTGTTAAGCTTAAATTCGCACTTTCTACTTAGTATTTGTAAGCTATTATATAATTTAATGATGGCACAATGTATCAGATCCTCTTTAAATAATAGATGATTGTCCGAGGAAGGTGCCTCTTTCTTCAGACAGACCTGAAGTCAAGTTCGCATTCATTGGTGTGTGTATCGCATATTGGACAGGTTGTTTTCCTTTTCTGACTAAAGTCCCTCAACTATCAACTAAGTATCTCATCTCTAAGGCTTGAGAGGTTGAAAATGGATCTCTTTGGTTCCCACCTGGACCCTTGGACCGAAACTCCATTCAGCTGAATGGCCATTCTGTATGCTCAGGATAAAAACAAGGGACTGGTTTCTAATCCACTTCCCTTTTACCTTCTTCCAACAATCCAAATGTCTCCTGGCCACCAATCAGCAAAACAGCTTATTCTCATCCTCTCAAATTCAGCTTGTGACTGGGGAGATGACTGAGAGAACAAGAGAGCTTTCTGTGTAAGAACAAAAATCTGTATTTGGATCCCTAGTACCCATAAAAACCTGGGCATAGGCAGAACCATGTGCACCTATTATCCTTTCACCAAAGAAAAAGGTTATAGCAAGAGGGTAGCTGGGACTTTCTGGCTGGATAGCCTAGCTGAAAGAAAGCAGAAAGCTTCAATAATGGCCTCTGTCTCAAGGGAAATGATAGGCTAGGACACAGAATATCTTCTTCTGGCCTCAAGTATATTACACACACACACACAAACACAAACACACACACATACACACACACAAGAACCTTTGGTGTCCATCCCCAAGACTCTCTTTAGGGTTCAGATTGAATGCTACAACCAGTGAAAGAGACATTTTACTTAAGATACCTGAGGGTAAACCAACAAATTCTCTGAGTTTTCTGAACCAGTCTCTTTATTGTTCTTCTGCCTCTATTTTAATTCTCCTGTCCTCTTTCTAATTCCTCCTAGCGTTTTCTTCTAGCTTCGTCCCTCTAGCCTAAAAATTCTTCACCTTATAGGAGCCTTGAAGTGATTTTAAAAAAAATCACAAAAGCATATTCCCAGGGTAAGCAATAGGGAGCTGAGCCATTGCCATGAAAACACAAGGTTTCAAGGTTACAGGAGCAAGACCATGACCAGACTAGGGGAGGGGACTGGGTGGGCATAGTGCCTAGTGACAAACTTTGAAACACAGAAACATAGGTCTATTGTCAGCAGACTGGCAAGCAAAGAATTGGCATGATTTTCTTAGGGTGCTTTGTGTAGCAACCTGGTAGACATCTGTGACTTTGACCTTGTGCACAGATATAAAGTTTTACACTTATGATCCATTTACAAAAAGCATTTATCTATTTTGAACTTGCTTTGAGGTGAAAGTGAACTAGTTATGGACAGTTAGCCTGAGCAAAAAGGAACAAAGCAGGCTTTTAAGTGTCTACAGTTCTTGTGGGGTAAATAGATCTAGTTAAGAAACATATTCTAGTATATTTTCTATATATCAAAATTATAAGGCTAAATGAAAATTCATCTTCCTAACCATCCACAGATATATGCGCCCATAAGAGGAGATGTAATAATGAGATTACATATAGATATCACATGAGATTACACACTACAATGCAGACACTGGGGAGACACCAAGCTGCCTTAACAAAAAAGAGCAACAGTTTCCAGAATCAGTGGTCCTGCAGGCCTTGCCTGGACAGGACTGACCTCCATCAGAGTCACTTCTCTGGTGTGATGACATATGAATTAACAATTACCATATGCTGTATATTTCCATAGCCTCCAACACACATGCACATACACATGCACTCACACACACACACATATACACACACACCAAAAAAAGCTTAAAATAAAAAAAAAAATAAAATTTAACTACTACTTTCTTGAGAAAAGACTTCCCTGTCCACCTGTCACAGAAAGTGTCCTGCTGGTTTATCATCCCAATGATCTCAATCCTTTTTAAAAGTGTCCTCTGCATGGAATTAGCATAATTATTTTATGGCTTTACTACTTCCTAGAAAGTAACTTTCATGAGACTTGGGAACACCATCATTAGTTTCTATCCAGTGTGTGGCACATGGTCCTTCAATGAATATCAAGTGAATAGTGGAAGAGAAATGATGGGAAGCAGTCAACTTACACATGCAGAAAGGTAGGATTTTCATGGGCAGTTCTGACTACACAGTCTGATCCCTTCAGATTGAGGGCCCACATTCTAAGCAAAAGAGAACTCCACTGTAACCATAGCTAAGAGTCATTTACATTACACGACATTACTGTGTACTGTTGATTGCATTGAAACATGTCAAAGTCACTTTTAAAAATATAGCAACATGAAAATGTTGTATTACTTATTGCCAGAGTTTGGTTGCTGATATCTGTCTGCTCTTGTACCAGTTCTGATACATAAAAGCCGCTGTATGAGTTTGATAGTTTTGGAATCAAGAAACAAAAGCTCAGCACGAGATAATTAGGGAACTTCCGCTCAACACCTCAAACTTACAATGGTTTGCAGGACTATGAAGATGTGGCATGAGGCTTGGCCTTTTTTTAATGATTCTTCTTTTTCTCCTTCCTTTTACTGGCTTCATCCTTGAGCACACAGAAAAGGGCTGCCTTGGTTCTGTTATAACAATGACTTTGATCAAGAAAGACCATCTTTTCCACAACGTTTTCTTTTCCAAAGCCCCTGGCCAACATCTCCTCCCATCTTCTTTAACTGTACTTCAACAAGTATTTGTCTGGGGACCATTGGCTGCCATGGTCCTAGGTTGTTCCACCAATTACTGCCAAGGAGAAAGAAAATAAATCATATTCATCCTGGATATGAGGGTAGGCTTATTTTCCCTGAAGCATTTGTTTCTGTCACTGAGAAATGTGGATGTCTAAAAGCAAATCAGACAGGAAAGAGTGAATACTTTCTTGGTAGAAACAAATGGGATCCACTACATTTGTGAAAATTAATGCATTGGGCAGAATGCTTAGGCAAAACCCAAGACGTGAACAACTGCTTAGTAACTTAATGCCTTTTGTTGGGACCAAAACTACTAACTAATCTGCCTTTCCATTCTAGACATTTATTAAAGAATCTATTAAACCAAGAGCAAATATCGTCTTATGTAAACCTTTTTTGTAGGTTCTTTTACTTGACTTAAGCATAATACATTTTCCAGTTAGGTTTTGGTCAGTCAATATGTTTAAGTATTTATACTAAGAAGTACACAATTTAAAAATACTGCACCATACATCAAGTCTCAGATATAGCTTCCCCCAGGAGCTTAGAAGCCAATGCCTGACATATGAGCCACGTCAACGCACAGTGACAGCATTCAATACCAACGCTAATACTTAAATGTGATATAAGTATGTATGTCTATATAATCCATTTAAATAAAAGCAGAAATACTGAGAGAGTGCTTCAGTCTAGCAGTGTTTAAAAGCCTGGTCCCTGGAGCCTTGCAGAATGCAGTTTGAAGTCATCCTATGGGGTAAGCAGAGAGCACTTGACAATTTATAAATCTTCCTCTGCTGTTCATGTCCTCACCTGGAAAGAATACACCTGATCTCAGTGGGCTACTGTTAGGATTGTCCACCATGTGCTATGAAGGAAAATTTACCCATATTCAGGAAGGGCATATTACGTGGTTGTTGCTTCCTCATCTTTAGGAGCAAAATGCATATCAGAAACAACAAAAGAGAGAAAAGTCTGAGCTTGGCTCACAGTTTGGGAGCAATTTTAACCTGTGCTGCAGGGAAGACACGGCCGGCCGTGTGGTGTACAGTGGCAGGAATGACACTCTGGCAGCAGTACACAATGCAGTCGCTCAACATGGAGCAGACCGGAAGAAGAAAGAGTTAGACAGGAGCCAGGGATGGGTACCATCTTCAAAAGCCCACTACTAGTGAAATCCTTCCACTTCCAAAGAACTTCACAGCTGCTAAGGACCTACCTCATATCCAAAAGATGAGCCTTCTGTCCATCACCATGGTAAAATACCATAACCAAAGCAACTGGGGAAGAAAGAACTATTTCAGCTATACGTCAACATCGTAAGTCAAGGCAGGTACCTGGAGGTAGAAACTGATGCAGAAGCCATGAAGACATTGCCTACTAATGCTCCTCATGGCTCGTTCTGCATGTTCTCTTACAGCAGCCACCATACAAGACCCCTTACCCAGAGTTGGCAGCACCCACAGTGGGCTGGGCCCTCCCATATTGATCACTTATCAAGAAAATGCTCAGCAGATTTGTTTATTGGCCAGTCTTACGGAAACATTTTCTCATCTCTCTTCCCAAACGATTGCCAAATTAACATAAAGGCAACCCTTAGTGGATGGTTGAAATTTTGGACAGTAATGGTGTGTGTGCTGGTATAATAACAGATCATACTAGACACTCAATGAACAACCAGAAGTGAGCAAGAGACAGGCTCTGGATGGAAAAGACCATATTTATGTGGCATTACCTCACCAAATACTGCTATTGAATTATGGAAGTAGCTATTTTCTCCCTTCTTCCCATCTCAATCTACTTAACACATGCTTTCTTCTTGAGGAACTGGGATTGTGGAATTCACGTGCTATAAATCCTTACATAGAAGGACATCTGCCCATTCTAGGAGACAAGAGACCTGCTAACACTTGCCACTAATACAGGGAGGATGGAGAGATGGCTTCTTAGTTAAGAGCACTTACTATGCAACAATGGAAACTGAGTTCAGATCCCAACGGCCACATAATAAGCCATGTGAAGTCTCATATGACCTGTAACTCCAGGGCCGGAGAAAAAGAAAAAGGAGGATCACTGGGGGAGTGCATGATGCAACCCAGATGAAAAACACGAGCTCCAGGTTCTGGCTTTCGTGTAATCACAAAGTATGCATCCACAGAAACACAGATGCACACGCATAAAACATATGCTTGCTCTCTCTCTCTCTCTCTCTCTCTCTCACACACACACACACACACACACACACACACCATCACCACTACTACCACAAAAGAAAGGAAGGAAGGAAGGAAGGAAGGAAGGAAGGAAGGAAGGAAGGAAGGAAGGAAGGAAGCAAAGAAGGAAGCAAAGAAGGAAGCAAAGAAGGAAGCAAAGAAGGAAGCAAAGAAGGAAGGAAGGAAAAGAAATTGAAAGGATAGAAAAAAGAAAGCAAAGAAGGACACCACAGTACCTGGCAAATTGAAGTACTCCAAAGATGACCTTTGAATACAGAAAACAAAGTAAAAATAAGTGAGTAAACAAGTTAGTAGAAAAAATGGACTTGTAAACACCAGGAACCAACCCACCACTCCCTAAGAATGAGCCCAGCAGACTTGGAAGCACACAGGATCCTGAAATCTCGGCCTCCTCTTCCCAGTCTCAGTAACCTTTAAGAATTTGCTTAGTCCACTTGCACCTCCCATCCTTACCAAACAGCTGATACCTCACACACTTGCAAAGACAACTCTGATTGGGGCTTCAATTTTGCAGAACACTGCTGCTGGTCTTCATTTGAGTTCTGCCCACCCCACATTTGAGCATCAGTAAGTCACCCTTCTGCCTCCCCTCAGAGGCGATAATGCACTTTTTTCCAGTCCTGGAACTACACACTTACAATGAAGTGCTTTGCTGAACTCCCTCCAGCCTTATACTAAGAGCTGAGTCAGGGGTGATGGTTGAAATCAGTTGTCAACTTGACATTATCTAAAATCACCTAAGAGGCAGACCTCTGGGCATAGTTGTGAGGAAGTTGCTGTACTGAGTTAATTGACGGGGAAGAACAACCTAAAGGGCAGGTGTCCTGAACGGAATAAAAAGGAGGAAGTGAGCTGAGCCCCAGCATTCATCTCTCTCTGCTTCCTGACTGCAGGTACCACGTGACATTTGCCTCCTGGTCCCATTGTCAAATCATCCCTGCCTAGATGGACTGTATCCTCAAAATGGGAGCTGAAATCAACCTCCCAGCTGTACAGCAACAGAAAAAGTAAATAACACACAGGAGGAAATGGTCAGTGTTTCCCTCGCGTCTGAGACTCAGAATGGGCCTGAATAACGGCACTCACATCCAATCGGCTATGGGGAATTTTTAAAACATAGGGCTTCTTATTCTTAACATGTTTAGAATTTTAAGACAAGGAAAACAGAGCATTCAACTGAATAAGAGCACTCTCTGGCCACATACGCAGGATGTCCACCCTGAAACGCGCCCAGCTGATCTGCGGATATGCCTAGCTGCCCGTGTACTTCCTTCTCACTCACCTCTAACTGGGGTGAATATTCACATATAACACGCACTATACATCACATGCCGTGGAAGATATGGACTCTCTTGTTCTAAGTTTACTTCCCAGAGTCATTTCTCCTCTATTTTTGCCCCAAAGGCTGGGCATAAAATGTTCCACTTTCCTGTAATCTTCGCATTTCCTTGCTATGCATTCTGGAATCCACCTACCTGGATTCAAATTTGGATTCACCCCCACTGATCCCATATAGAAACAGGCATGGTGCTTCTCTCTACCTACTTCTAGTTTCTTAACTGGAAACTGAAAATAATGAGAATAGCAACCATACAGTCCTATGGATTATCTGAGCTAATAATGGTAAATAGCATGGAATGTGGTGATTCTTATCCCTGAGGTACATTTAGGGTCTTCTGGGGAGCTGTCTAAAATTTACAGTCCCTGGCTCCTCCTTAACCAAATGAATCGGAGTCTTAAGGAGTGAGGCCAGGATTCTGAGTAATTTCTAAAAGTTTTCTTGACATCTATACCACACCTCTCAATGCTCAGAGAACACGGCCAAATAAGGGGCAGAAATAACATCCAAGCTGGAGGGCAGGGAGGCCTGCCGTGACTTTCTGCCTTCTGGGCACGGCAAGGCCATTACACTCAAGAAGTCACAGTTGTTATGGTTACTTACAGGAGACCCAAAGTCGACTGAGCCCACCAATATTTCATCATGGATACGGAAGGGACTCATGAGAACCCCCTGCAAGCTGAAGAGCTATTGGCAGTTGCTGGCTGCTGGGGAAAGGGGAGTCATTTTTCTTCAGTAGTCCAGCCACTAGTTAGTTACCTACACACCGATAAATAACCTCACACCCACGCTCATGCAGCGCCTTGCAAGAAACTCAGTGGGTCAAAGGGGGTGGGGGAGACAGAGAAAGGAATCAAAAGGGATTAGAGAGAAATAGGATGAAAAAAGCAATGAAGCAAATGTAATTAAAAATAAATTCTACACACATCTGAAATTGTCAAATAATAGATTTTTTAAAAAATGTTTTTAATTCTCCTGCCAGATGTCAAAGCAGCTCAGTGGTGAAAGACTTTACTGCCAACCCTACTAACCGGAGTTTAATCCCCAGAAGCCACATGGCGGGAAGAGCGCACCAATCCCTACACATTGTTCTCTGACCCCCACCTGTGTACCATAGCAAGTATCCGCATACACATACGCTAGGTAAATAAATGTAATTTTAAAATGCTAGTTTACCCTAGAGATGTAAATGAGCAGGGTGAGGGGCTGGGGATCAATTGTCTTACCTATGGCCCCTGCTCTTGATGTGTTGGCTAGTGGTAGTCACACAATTGAGCTGCCCAGAGAAATATTATAGATTACATTGCAGTTCTTCTTTTTAATCACTTTGCATGTGGATTCTTTCTCCCACTCCCACTTACTTTGATCCAGAATGTACCTGCAACCAATATAAATCAGAGCCAAAGATGTCTTGGGGTGCTCCCACTGAGACAAAGGTACCTTTGAATCTTGGTCTTCCTATTAACCCAGAGATGAGAGAGGAAATGTCGACTTCTCCAAAGGGGTCCTTCCTTTGATATCATTGTGGGGTGTCTTATAAAAGTTCTTCATGCTGCAGGATTGAGGGCCAGGAGGATGCAGTCAAGTCACCAGAAACGCCTAAATAATGCAAAGCAAAGAGAGGTGAAGAGTAGGAGAGTTAATTTTGTGAGCCTGCATGTCTCTCATCAGTGTGGATAATCAGCTTTGTGCAAATGTCCTTTTGTCATATTTATGATGATAACACATCCATTATGAATACCGGAGCTCATTTGCAACGTGACCTGGCAAATATTGAACGTTCCGGGCTACATTTAATTCCAAGGTAACTGAAATCATTTGTGTTTCTTAGTAACCAGATAGGGTTTGGATCTCAGAAATCTTAAAATAGTAGGGCCTTTCTGACTTGTGTTTCAGAAACCCCAATCTAGATGGAGTTTGAGGAAGAAACCCATGGTGATTTGAGTCTGTTGTGGTCAAGGTCAAGAGGAAAAGGCTGAGAGTCTAAGACACATTGCTAAGGGAGTGACTTGAAAGAGCTGCTTATAAAATGGCTTCCTGCCTTAAATCAACTGACCATCTCCTCCAGCTAAACAGGATGCAGAGTTACTCACCAAGCTTATCAGGGCTCAGATACACAAATCTGCCCTCTTGAGAACCTTGGAGGTCTAAATCTTAACATCCAACCATTGAACACTTGCTACTCTGCTTAGGCTGAGAGCCTAAGACAAGGCGGATTCAGTTCAGAAGCTGTTTGTGTTCCAATTAGCTTACCAAGTCCAAATACTAGTGCAGGCTATGGCAAATTCTACAGAGAAACATGGGTGTTGAGGGCAGAAGACACCTTGTTGTCAGGACAGTACAGTCATTGAGTTTTCCAATCACTGTGAATCACGGAGATAGTTTCACAGGTCAGTACAGACAGCTTTACAGAATGAACTAAAAGAGACAGGTCTAAGTGCTTAACTCTCGTAGATGAATATTAGCATACGATTCTGTTTTATTGCCCTTATGTATGGTTCTATCTATGTATAAGTGTGTGTTGAATCAAGATATGAAGAGGAATGATTTGGCTACAGCTCAAGATCCTCCCCCAAAAATGAAATTCAGGCTTCTGAAAACAGGTCCTTCCGGCAGCATGTAAAAAGCAATGACTCAGGGCACATACCACATACAGCCTGTCACTGGGGAAGGGCCAACGGAAGGGTGTTGTTATTGTTTTTTTTTAATGTGTCATAAAATGATCTTGAAAAAATAAGTTGTTAACAAGCAATACAAAAATCAGAAGGCAACACATTTTTAAAATACAGACTTTGAGTGTCTCTTCAAAATGATGAATCTAGCTTGCTATAAACTGGGATATCCTGGGGAAACCTTACTCCATTCAAGGAAACAACTTGACAGGTAGATGCGGTGAATTGAGCTCTATGTCAATCTCTGTCCATGGGTCCTTCTGGCAATGATTTGACCCTACTTTTGACCCTTTAGCTAACCTATATTTCCGGTCTTATTATCACTCACTCTCTGTTCTAGTCAGACATGTGCTAAGTCAGTCAAGAAGATTTCCATCCCAATGCCCTGGATGTAGTCTTCACTCCCCTCCACACCTTCTGAGAGCTGAAACCTGTTCAAAGCTGGATTTCCATCTGTGATCATGGGAAAGCTTCTTTGCATCTCCATCCTCTCCTGCCCCCCACCCCATAGACCTGAATTCTAATCTGGTTTACTTAGCCCACAACCCTGGTACACTCACAGTTCCCTCAAGCACGTAATCTTTATTTATCATTATCTGTCTGCCTGAGTGTTCATGAGCTCCCTAAATGAACAAATTGCATCCCATTTATTTCTGTTTTACCATCCCATTGTCCAAACTAGTAAATTGCATAAAACAAATAATCAATAACTCTTTGATGAATTAGATTACAATAGACTTCAATATAAGCTTATTCATTATAGCACTGCTGAAAAAAGCAAAATACTGAAAACAATCCAATTGCCCATCAGTTGAATTTGAATAAATCATTACAGTGCCCTGTTATGTACAGAAACAACACAGAGATTGTTGGAAGTTTCTTAGATCTATATCTGGTGATNAAGATAGCAATTTCCAAAACCAAAAGGAGATTATCCAAGTATGAAATAAAGGTTTATAACATAAAAAGACCAAAAAAAAAGATGTAAATTTACTTGAGAAAATTATTTATTGAATGATCCAGGAATTATTCTTAGCTCTACATGTAAAATTTAACTAAGCAATGTGTCTATTGACATGCAGTCAGCATTCTAGTTGAGGGATAAAGGAAAAATTACATATTAGTAAAAATCATAATAAATACAACAAAGAGAAATAAAGACAAAAAATTGAAGCACGAAGTGGTATGACTAGCAGGACATGTTAGCACACAGTTTTGATCCCAGTACTAGAGATGCAGAGTCAGGAAGATCTGTGTGAGTGAAGGCCAGCTTCATCTATAGAGGGAACTGCATATCTGCCAGGGCTGTACAGTAAGACTCTGTCTCAAAACCAAAGCAATAGGACAATCATGAAGAATATTTCTATATTACATAAGAAGATTTGCTGCTAAGGAAGCACCTTTATCTCTGATGAGAGATTAATAGCATGCACACACACACACACACACACACACACACACACAGACACCTACCCCAGAATCCTAAAGGAAGTGAGAAAATAAGCCACAGAGCTGTTGGAACAAGCATAGAGAGCAGCAAAATCAGAGGATCAACAGCAATCACATTATTTAATTCACTTCAAGAAAAACAGATATTTACTTATTTTTTGGTAGAGTGATTGATTTGCATGTATATATTACAGATGGTTGAGAGCCACCATGTGGTTGCTGGAAATTGAACTCAGGACCTCTGCAAGAGCAACCCATATTCTTAACCACTAAGTCCTCTCTCCAGCCTCTCTTCCCCCAGATAGCTACTCTTAATGAGGCAATAGGGCTGGGGACTTTTAAGAAAATAGAAGTTTGATGATACATGATAATTCTGAGAAGTCTATGGGGCCTCTATGTGAGAAACAAGTCAGTGCAATGTATGATCTAGGAGTGGAGGCCAGGCTGAATTTAGATTTGCGATCACACATACATGGTATTTAAATCAATCTGTGGGGCTGCAGAGGAGGAAAGTGAGTGTGAGGATTAGTTGTGCAAGTCTGAAGGCCTGACTTCAAAATCCCAGCACTCATGTTAAAAAAATGGTAGGCCAGTATAGTTACATGAACTTACATGTTCTTGTAATCTCATTGCTGGGGATTTTCTTGGCTGCTTTCTACTTCTGCTTCTGTGATAAACACCATGACTGAAAACAACCTGGGGAAGGGAAGGGATTATTTCAGTTTATAGTCATAGTCTATTATGAAGAGAAGTGAAGACAGGAACCTGGAGGCAGGAACTGAAGCAGAGACCATGAGGAACTCTGAATACCGGCTTGCTCCTTGTGACTCGCTCAGCCTCCTTTCCTTACAGCCCTCAACAACTTGCCCAGGGCAGGCACAACCTACAGTGAGCTAGACCCTTCCACATTAATCATTAATCAAGAAAACACACTCCGCAGACTTGCCTATTGGTCAATCTGATAAAGGCAACTCCTCAGTTGAGATTCTCTCATTCCAGACAGGTCTAATCCTGTATCAAGTTGACAAAAACCCAGCAGCACAGCAATGGGAGGCCCTGGGCCATGCTGTCTACCAGCCCAGCTCTAGCTTCAATAAGAAATCCTGTTTTAAATGAAGAAGGCAGAGAGCGGCAGAACAGGACACTGAACATCCTCCTCTATATCTCTTCACATGGTGCAATTACCCATATATATGCGCATATACTACACTCATATGTGCGTATACCACACACACATGAAATATACTGCAACACACATGTGCATATATCATAGACACACACACATACCACTTTCACACTGCAAATAAGTAAATAGATAAATAAAAAAATATCATTTTTCTAGTTTAACAACTACTTGAAAATAAATGTGGCAAACCAAGAGGTCTGAGAATTAATTTTGGTGGCATTGTTCTTTATGGGTCTAGATGCTGAAGAGGTGAACAAAGGCTACACTGGGCCCTGAGTAGGAGGGCAAGGAGGAGGCCACAAAAGAAGCCAAGTAAGAATGTGGGCCAGTCTCCAAGAGGTAGAAGATAAACTCCATAAAACTGTTAAGAGGTTGAATAAAGAGATAACTGGGCACTAGCCATTAAATTTTGTGACATGAAGGTCACTGGTGACCTGAATAAAAGCAATCTTGGAAGAACGATAGGGACAAAAGTCAGAGTCAACGAGGATCTCCAGAGAAAGAGAAGGCTGGACTGACAGGGAGGCCATATGACCCCTTCAAAGTCTTTTCAAAATTAAGAAATATCAGACAAATTGAAAGGCATTCTAGAAATCACCGAGCCTGTTGTCCACAAAAATGTCAATGTCAGGGAAGCTGAAGAAAAGCTGAGGGAATGTTCCAGGTTAAAAGAGGCCAGGGAGACGTGACAACTGAATTTCATACGGGACTGGACACTGACTTGGGATTTCAAGAAAGCATTTATGAAGAAAAGTATTGAAACAATTGACAAGATTTCACTCCAGTCAACATTCTGAAACAAAAGGATTGTGTTGATGCTCAATTTCTCCAGTGCAGTCGCTGAATAGTGGCTGGGTAACACAGCGCTTTTTTCTTTTTAACCTAAAAGCACTTCACAGTAAAAAACAATGGTAGCAAGTGATTTAGAAAAAAAAGTAAATATGGATAAATATACATCCTTGGGCACATATGCATAGTTATGTATGAAATTAAAGCAGACAGATACATGGAGATTATAACAGAATCACGTGGGATGTGGGTGAGAGATGGATGCAAGTTCTAGGTATTGTTCTTATGACTTTAACTACATTTGAAATGATTTTGTAGTGAAACACTTTTTGAAAATATGAATAGTGTTTATTTCTGAGTAATGAGGTAATGGATTTTTCCCTATATCCCAATGTCTAATTTCTTCTTCATCAAAATAAACATGGTAGAGCATGGATTGATTGGTAAAGCACCTAACCATACAAGCATGAGGACCTGAATTCAAATCAATGTTTAAAAAAAAAAGTCAGACATAGCAGCATTTACCTGTTTTCCCAGTGCTGTGGTAGAGAGGCACGAGGATGCCTGGGGCTGGCTGGTTAACTGGTCTACCTAAATCAGTGAGTTCCAGGGTCAGTGAAAGAGCCTGTCTACGAAAAGAAGATGAATCATCATTGAGTAAGACATCCAGCACAGACCTCTGACCTTCAAATGCATGCACACACACATGAATGTGAACCCCTTCATACACTCACATATGAACATGCAAACAAGCAAGCAGAGATTAACTAAGTAAAACATAAATTTTAACAATGAAAAAATTTATCCATTAACTTTATCAAGCATCCAAAAGAGAAAGATTCAATAGTTTGTGTAAATACTAAATTATAAAAGCAATAAGTAATTCATAGGCTGGAATATAGCTTTAAGAATTTTTAATTAATTATCACATCAAATCATCCAATAAATGTTTAATGCCCAAATTTCCTTAATTTTTTTGTCATAACTTCTTGGGAACTAACTCTTATCTTTGATTTCTGATCTTTTCTTTTGGGAACTTGTGAATGAAGTGGCTGTGAGTGAGTACAGAAGGCAGGTCGTCAGCTTCTCATCCTGAGGCCAACCTAGCTGTATACCCCTCACTAGTAGAACAAGTCCACCATTAATAATAGAGAATTTTTGGAACAATCAATAGCATCTCAATAGAAACTTATTGGTTAATTGAAGAGCATGAAAGAAGAAGTTATATTAAGACAATTTGACTTCACAAGATGTAGCAGGGGTAGAATCATCTCTGTCAGATCCAGAAGATAAAATACAAAAGCCACAGGATTAGGGGGATGAGTGGAAGTTTTTGAGATATGAATTTACCTTGCAAGAAGGAACAACTTTATAGCCAAATAAGAAAAATGAGTGGTGAGGGTGTCCCAGAAAATTGAATGTTGATAGTTCTGCTGTGATGAATTGTAATTAATTTGAAATCTACCAGTTTAATTCAGCCTTTGAAGACACGTTTACAGATATTTTTAGAATGAATTTAAGCATTTGTTTTAAAGATGTGATAATGTATTATTAACATGCTTTTCAGTTTCTAGGAACACAGTGGACTGTTCAGTCTAGCTGACACTCTTGATAAAACTGAGTCATTACAAATATCTGTTTGCATAGGTTAACAGGAGGGCCAATGGCCTAACAGTCATCCTAACCATCCTAGAAGCTGAGGAAAGAGAATCACAAAATTCAAGTCAATCTGACTTCAGCTCAAGATCCAGCCAGGACGGAGGACTTAGTAAGATACTAACTCAAAATAATATAAAATAAAAATTTCAAAGGTTTGTGGATATAACTCAGTGGTAGAATACTTGCCAAATTTGTGCAAAGCCCTAATGTCAGTCCCTAGTAACACACACACACACACACACACACACACACACACACACACACACATGAGAGAGAGAGAGAGAGAGAGAGAGAGAGAGAGAGAGAGAGAGAGAGAGAGAGAGAAATCCTCTGAGTCGGGAAGTTCAGGGGAAACAAAAGCCTAGAGATGAAAACATGCTTCAAGCATATTTTGACTTGAAGGGCATCTTTTGAGGCCAGACAATCCTAGCTGTCACTTTTCACGCCTCATCAGGAGTGAAGACAGGAGAAAATTGTTTCAAAGTGACAAGTTTAATAGGAGATTCTACACATACCCAGGGATAAAAAATAAACCAATTACATATTCAGAAAATAAACTAGGAATAAAACTGCAGCTCTTCAGAGTAAATAACTAAATTACGTTCTATATTTATTGTTGTGAGAAAAAAAGGAAGAATAGCTATAAATTAAAAGACAATCAAAATTTCAAAACAAATAACTATCTAATAAACAAATGATATGTACAATTGATTTGATCAAAACACATTCTATGCATGTATGAAATTCTCAAGGAATTAAAAATTTTTGAAAGCATATTTGTGATAGCCTATGCAGCACCATTAAATGATCAAATTAGAGTCAAATGAATGTGCCCATTGTTCATAGATAAGATTCAATATTGTTAGTATATCACCACTTCCTTAGACCTGTAGATTATATATTTCTAATTTAGTTATTGGAGATAAATACTCAAGTGGGCCGATAGGATGGCTCAGTGGGTAAAGATGCTTCCTGCCTGATGGTGCAAGCAGATGAACTAAGTTTAACTTCTGGTACCCATATAAAAGTAGAAAGAAAGAATAGATTCCACAAACTTGTTCTCTGACCTCCACACATACACCATACAGAGAAACAACAGTAATAATAACAAATGATATTTTTAAAAAGAAATTTAAGATAGAAAAATAAAAAGACACCATTTTCTTGCACATCTGGTCTAAACATTTATCCCTATCAGGTTCTTCTTTGGAATTTGGCAAGAAGATCATGAGCTATATAAAATTCAGGACAGAGATGAGATACCCCAAACAGCTTGAGCCAGGAAGCACACTGGAAAACACTTACCTGTCAAGGAGTATTGGTCAGTTACCTTTCTTATCTCTGTGGCCAAAACTCTGACAAAAAGCAAAGTCAAGGCAGAAGGATTTCCTGTGCCCATTGTCCCGTTATGATGGGGAAGGCCTGGTGATGGCAATGGCTCATGGTGGTGGCAGCTGGAGCTCGTGTGCTTTGTTAGAACACGGGGACACTCAGTAATCAAAGAGACTGGATAGAAAGCAAGTGAGCTAGAATTTTCAAAGCTCCTTCCCCAGCACCCTACTTCTTCTAGCTTTGCCCCACTTCCTTCTTCAAGCTAGGCCCCACCTCCAGATGCTTTTTCAACCTCCCACAACAGCGCCACCATCTGGGGAAAAACTTGTGCAAACATGAGCCTGTGGCGCGATTTCACACTCCAACCATGACACCTGGAATCAAGAGTTGACTCTGAACAGTAGAGAGGAGAAACCCCAAAACACCAATGAAATGTCACTCTCAAAGCCTGGACACTGTAGGAAAAAAAAAAAAAAAAAAAAGACCAAAGAGCCAGAAATCTTCCAGACATCATCCTTACTTACCCTCTATCAAAACACTGTGAGTAAAACCACGAGTCTCAACCCATGTGTAATGTCAAAAGTCTAAAGGAGAGCCTGGACAATGACCCCTTAAAGGGAATCCATATATGGCATACCCATAGCCACAGATACCATAAAGGGAGTTCCCATGACTCCAAGAGAGGATTCACAGATTCACAGAATGCCAACTAGAGAGTCTGGACTCTCCCTGTCCTCATCAGTAGCAAGGCACCCTCCTATCTTCCAGCTGAAATGGCATCAGAAGAGGCCTAACAAAGTCTCGGGAAGTTCATTGCTGCCCAGCGTCAAATGAGGCCATCATATCTCTGGACATCATTCAGGGCTTTGGATCTCCATTTCTCTTCATATACAGGGAGAGGACAAATCTTAACTCTAAAGGCTAAAGACACAGCTTAAGTAGTAGAATGTATTCTTAGCATACCTAATAACTCAGCACTCCCTGGTCTTAGTCACTGGCATTGAGAGAAGAAAACAATGGCTTTTACTTGGTGAAATGAATGCCGTTTGTCCGTGCATCACCAATACAGTGAAAACAGTTCTGCTCCAGGAGTGTAAGGCAGTCCCTACACATGGAACGTGCTGGCTGGCTCTGGGTGTAACTCAGCCATGCTTCTATCCATTAGCAGAAATAGCAGCACATTTCCTGCAGATTCATTTGCACTTTCTCTCGGAAAATATCTCAGGCTTTTGTATATGCATATTCATAAAATTAAAATAACTTAATCTGCTGGTACTCTGGGTCTGGAAGCAGAGGGGTTGGAGGAAGGGAGAACACCCTCAAAGGTCCAAGAAGAAAAATCAGGATTCTCCAGGAAGCCCAAAAGTAAAAGGACTGCAGAGTCCAGGTCCTAGGGAAAAGCAGGGCTATACAGATGTTCACTGTGCAGATGTGCCCGGAAAACAAAACAGCTTTTCTCCTCAGGATCCTGATGTCCAAACTTGAAAACGGGTGGTGGAAAGGTGTGTGTCTGCTGGTGGCAAGCTGAAACTGTGTTTGGATGCAAACAGACTGGAACTCCAGCCAGGGAAGCAGCAGCCACACAGGGATGGGCAGGATCGCCTGATCTTTGCTAACAGAGGTTCCCTTCAGAATGCTCACACCTGGTAGGGCGGCAATAGCACAGAGAAAATGAGTGGGAATCACTGGGCTGTGCTTTGTTCTGCCAGCGCCATTCAAGACCCTTTTCCTGTCTTTTAGATGTGTTTGTGTTTGATTGATGGAGAGGATGTCATCATTTTATTCCCCAGCTCCATCCCTGCCAAGCTCTGAGGCAGCAGTGACTGTATTCTTCTTCCAAGGCCACAGCTGTTCTTGGGCAGCAATGGCTGCTCCCTGCTGTTGCTACCCACGGGGTACGTCACCATCATTTGCTGGTTTCTCTTATCGCTGCCATGCCTATGTAATGCTCCCCAAATAGAACTCGGCTCACTAATCCCATCTGAGTTTTGGTCTACTTCCTGCCAGGCCCCTGACTGAGATGGTGCATTTGGCTGGGCTGGTAAATGAGTTTCAGAAGGAGGGGGAAAGAGCAGAGCAATGGTTGGAGAGGAACCTCGAAGACTTCATGCTGCTTCAATCCTTGGCTGTCCTCTAGGAAAGCAGCTAAAGGCTCAGCCATCTGGAGAGGTTGTGGTGTTCTGGAAATGAAGACAATGACATTGGGTGTCATTGCAAGCTTGGAGAAGGGAGGCGAGAGGAAGGTATTATAAAAGAACATAAACTTTGAAGGTCACAGAGACCTGGGCAGGACCTCTGTGGTCCGGAGAGAGTGGTTCAAGTGTCTGAGGCTGTTTGTTTGTTTCCATCTTCTCAGAAAATGATATCCACATATTAGAGCCTTTTTAATGATGGTTAAAGTAACAAATGTTTGCATCTAGGACAGGATCCTGCCCATTGCAGGGTCTAGATCAATGTGCACTCCCTTTTCCGATCTCTGCTCTCACTCAACAGAGTACATCAAAAGCCTAGAGAAGTAGACACTTCTCAAGTGGGGAGCTATGATAAGAAGTGTTGGCATTTGTGAATAGTGCTACGTATTCAGACTCTACTTAAGAGTTAGCCAACTTCCTGCATATTTCCTAACGTCTCTGAGCCCCAGTGTCCTGTGAGTGAGAACAAGACCAGCTTTTCCTAAGATGTCAGTCACTATCTAGAGCTGAGAAGGACACTGGGGCACAATGAGGAGAAGACAAACCCACCAACTTAAAAGAAAAAGCAGCCAAAGAAACAATGGTACCAACTCGCTTGTTGAAATAATTTGCTAGCAGGACAAAAAAAAAAAAAAAAAAACCTGCACGTTCTTGCAACTGAGTTCTACTGGGCCTGAGTTTTAGTTTCGTGGTATTTGAAAACTTTCAAACTCAGAAATATCATATGGAAATTCAGATGGCACCTTACTTCTCTTTCAGATCAGGCCATAATCCCCCATCTACTATTACTATATACCTTCTTTCAGGGTAACAGGGACCACCCACACAGACCCCTCAAGTTTTTCCACTGGCCCACTCTTCACCTGGCCTACTTCACTCATGTGTGTGACTGGCACTTGGGATACCTGAGTATTTGGCAGCTACTAAAAATCTAGGACTTCATAGCCTCTCATTTTCAAGAAGACAGAAAAACATGAACCAAGAGAATGCTAGTCTACCACATCTGTAATTGATGCACATGGCTGTTCAATGACACCAGTTTGTGCCTCCTCTGGCATTGTCAAACACTGCAGTCAGGAAAGCAGTCACATTCTTTTGAGAACTAGTAGAAAAGATGGGAAAACCCAGAGCTAGCCCTGGTCTTTATTCTTGCCTTGGTAACCCCTGGATGACACGGGAGCCCACGGATGACACGGAAGCTTTCAACTTTGCACAGCTATTCCATTAAGCCAGGGACAAAGCAATTAGGATATCATTTTAGCACTTGGTGAATTAGGGATCCTGATAAACACCAATGAGATTTATCATCACAAAACCAGGAAGATCCGAAATTCAGGGTTCCTGAACAAACACATGACACCTCTACACAGAATTATTACTAAAAACAAAGCAAACTGAACCTAACAAAGTCCATCATTCTAACAATGCCCCTGCCCTTTGGAGGCATGAAACAGCACCTGTTGTGTTCTGTGATGAGGATGCAAACAACAAAGCCCAGACCTGAGAAAGGCCAGCAGTGCAACAAACAAACATTGAAGCAACGTGTTTTTCTAACCCAGCTAAACAAGAAGCTGAGGTAGGATGGCTGCAAGGTCACACCCAGCCTGAACAACTTGAGAACATTTTTTCTTCAAATAAAATTTTAGAAATAATATAGTTTGGTATGGAGCACTCGGCTGGTATGAATGAGGCACTTGGTTCAGTTTCCAGTACTTCAGTAAAAAAGCTTACTCTTAGGGTAGATTCAAATAACAACAAAATCAAGCCAAAATTACAGAGAATTCCATCTACCACTTGTCTTAATATACACCCAATGTCTGGTTCTGTTCATACCTGCACTGGAGCTGTACATTGAACATGACTAACACTACACTAACACATCATTATCAATCCAAGGACATAGTTTATGCTGGGTACCACTGTGTGCTACACATCCTGTGGATTTTGAGATGTATGAAGATGTGTATCCATCACTAAAGTAGCAGAGTTCCTCTGCCCTCAGAAGCTTCATTCTTTCTTCCTTCTCACCTATCCTCTAGTAACTACTGTGCTTTGAACCCTCCACAGTTTCATTTTTTTCCAGAAAGTCATATAGTTGGAATCATATAGCACATAGCCTTTTTATATTGGCTTCTTTTACTTAGTAACACACTTCAGTTTTCCCCATGATATTACCTAGCTTGGTAGCACATTTCTTTTGTGTTTCCAATAAAGCATAATATTGATTAATTTAAAATATCATATGTCTGATGGAGGAAGGTCATTGAGCAATAAAGAAACTGCTTGGCTGGCCTCATAGGTTAAAGCATTGGTGGGAGGAGTAAACAGAATAGAATTCTGGGCAGAAGAGGAAGTGAGGTCAGACTCTGCTCAGCTCCCGGACAGACTCAACAGCTCTGCTCGCTGGAGCAGAGACGCCATGCTTAGCTCTCCCAGGTAGACCCAACAGCTCTGCTCTCTGGAGCAGAGACGCCATGCTCAGCTCTCCCAGGCAACTCCAACCCAGGATGGACATAGGCTAGAATCTTCCTGGTAAGCGCACCTTGGGGTGCTTACACACATCATTAGAAATGGGCTAGTCCAGGTGCGAGAATTAGCCTATAAGGGCTAGAGTTCATGGGCCAAGCAGTTCTTAAATGAATACAGTTTGTGTGTTGTTATTTCGGGCATGAGCTAGCCAAGCGGCCGGGGTGTTGGGGACGCAGCCCCGCCACTCCCTATTTCAACATATGTCATCTACTGTACATGAGAGTTTCCTAAATTCGTCAAGTTTTCTCAAATTTATTCTTCTGTGTCATACAGTGCATCCAAACAAACCTCAGTCTCCCCTCCCACGATTGCTTGCGGTCCCTCCCCCCACCTCCCTTTTATCCCCAGATCCACTGCTCCTCTATTTTCCTTCATAAAAAGAGCAGGTCTTGGGGCTGGAGAGATGGCTCAGTGGTTAAGAACATTGCCTGCTCTTCCAAAGGTCCTGAGTTCAATTCCCGGCAACCACATGGTGACTCACAACCATCTGTAATGAGGTCTGGTGCCCTCTTCTGGCCTGCAGACATATACACAGACAGAATATTGTATACATAACAAATAAATAAATAAAATGAAAATTAAAAAAAAAGAGCAGGTCTCCTATGGACGTCAACCAAATATGGCCTATTAAGATGCAATAAGGCTAGACACAAGCCTTTATGTCAAGGCTGGAAGAAGAAACCTAGCAAGAGGAAGAGGGTCCCAAGAGCAGGCAAAGAGTCTCACTTATCCAGTAGAAGGATTATTGGTTGCTTCCCAGTTTTAACACTATGAATAAGGCTACTGAAAACATTTATGTGATGATAATGTATGGATGTTAGTTTTTTAATTCATATTTAATAAATACTAAAAACTTTTTATAGTTTGTGTTCATTTATTCTGGATTCAATTTGTTCTTTTTCCCAGTTTTCAAGGTGAAAGCCTAAATTATGGCTTTTTGATTGCTCTGCTTTTCTGCTATGCGCCAACAATGGTATCAAATGGTATGAAAACTTCTTTAGTGTGTCTTAACACTCTCTGATGGTTGTATTTTCATTTAGCTCAAAAATGTTAAACTTCTTTTAAACTTTTGCTTTGGTCACATGTTATCAAGTGGATCTTTAAGAATCCAAATAATGAGGCCTCGCCTGTTCTTAGTCTGTCACTGGTTTTTAGTTCACTTCCATTGTTAAACTTGACACCACTCTGTGATTTCCATTCTTTTCAGTGTGTTGGGTTTACATGTGTTTTATGGCCCAGGATATAGTCTATCTTAGGGAACGGTCCATGTGATATGCTATTATTGGATAGAATTCTCTAGACATGTCAGTTATCCTGGTGACTAATGGAGCCGTTGAGTTCTTCAATATCCTCACTCACTTTCTGCTTCCTGAACTTCTCCCTTTCCAACAGCAGACTCATCCACCTCTCCTTGTTCTACTTGTCTCTGTTTCATGCAATGTCCACACAGTGTTCAACTCTGTGGTTAGCCATATATATGTTAAAGTCTGTTACATATTTTTAGAGTACCCACAACCCTCATTTATACATACATATGTATATAATATTGTATATTATATGTAATACATATTCTTTCTTTACTCTGAAGTCTGTTTAAAATTAGCATAACCACTCCCACTTCCTACCTTTTTTTTAAATTACTTTTTCATGGTAAGTCTCTACTTCCCTTTACTTTGAATTTATCACTAAAATGTATTCATTAAATACTATTTATAGTTGAGTCTTTGACTCACTCTGATCCAGTCAACTGAAACTATTGAACTGATATTCAATACGATTATTGAAATACTTGTATTAATAGATATTTAAGTTGAAGAGAGATATACAGGTAGTTATAAAATGACTAGACAGATGGTGTATAGATATACAGATACATAAATGGATGGTAAGTAATATATAATGGATATGTACATGATAGAAAAATGATGGATAGAGAGAATGATAAACAGATGATGCATAGATCATACTTGTTACTTCTTTTTCAAACTTTTACTACTGTTCTTTACTCCAATTCTTGTTGTCCAATGTTTTCAGCCCCTTGTGGTTTTAACTATACATTTGTATGATAGCTTTTTCTCTTAGATTTTAGTATATCACTTACCTATCTTTAAAAACTGGTTATCATTGAATTTCCGAGTATCCACCTGCAACCAATCAAGTTTACATTCAAGCGACATACTACTGCTTCACAGATAGCACTGATGTCTCATGCTAACAAAATATCCCTAATGCTTCCTTCTCATCCCCTATGTCATTGCTGTCTTTACATAGGACAGCATGGCTAAGGGATAGAAATGGTGTTCGCCTTACTCCACATGGAAAGCTAAGAGTATTGCATTTGGTTCTTTCTCTGAGCTGGGGCTAAAAGCCCAGTGAGTTAGGTTTGGGTAAAACAGTTTCTCAGAGCGTTACTCAGTGTGTTTCAGTATAACGCATTTTCTGCCCTTGCTGGAAGCACAGGGGAATTTTTTTCCCCTCTGACCTTTACTGTGAGGACCTGGCAGAGCTCTTGGAGGTAAATGGCAAAGGCATAGGCCTTGCCTAAAAATGGAGCTTTCTGTAGCTTGACCCAAGGCAAATGCTCTAGCAACTTGTCAGCTGCTATTAGGTTTCCCGCCCCAGGCCTGATTCTGCAGTGCTTTCTATTTGTATGTTTCTGTCCCGACACATCATGAGTTTCTGTGCCTACCTGTTGATTCTGCAGCTCTGGGTGCAGCAGTCTTCCTGTGACTTTTGTTGTCTGACTAGTCTAAGAAGAACTGATTTTCACTGTCTCCAGGCCTTGATTAGAAGGAGCAGTAACTTCTATGTTCTTTAAATGTCAGACTTTTGTATCCCTCCCCCATCTTGAGGTGCTATTGACAGTTGATATCTGCTGGGAATGGAGAACCATACTTCTTTGTAAGTCACTGGTAGGTTGCTTATGCTCAAGGGGATGCCCCCAACTCATGCACATATGGACAGCATTAATTGTAACTTAGTGGACTTTTTAAAAAAGAATACAAAGTTGGGAGGGGATGTATGTGGAAATCCAACAGAAGTTGGGGAAGGAAAGTCAGGCATAGCGATTGTCATATTTCATTGTAAACATGTATGAAATTCTCAAAGAATAATTTTAACTTAGGGTTCTAGCAATGTTTGGGGCATATAAAAATGGATCTCTACAAACTAAAATAAAGTCAATTTGTTTGTGTTCATCTCTATAGCAATTTATATTTTTTTTCATGCTTTGGGCACTGTTTTAGCTTAAATAATAATCAGAACCATGGATAGAGGTGTCTAGACCCCAGGTCCCCTCAAACTTTGTAATTCCTTTATCTTCTTTTCATAGTCCAACATGTAGAAGATGGTTAAATGGCAAAATTGAAAATTCTTAGGTCTGCAGTATAGCCAGCTATACTTGCATCTTAAAATCTCCCATTTAGAGTTTTAAGGGAAATGACACCTGCTTCACTGCAAAGATTCAGCTGTTTCAGAGGGTCCCACAGCTGTCCTGGTTTTCCATTGAGGGAGGGAAATATGAATCCACGTACACGTCTTGGGAACATTCCTGGACTGTAGCTGGAAGAATAAGCTACTGCTTTGGATTCACTTTGTAATTCATCTAAGAAGAAATCCAGATAAACTTACCATGGAGGATGGCAGCTCTCTTCTGAATGAAGCCACGTAAAAACATCACTGTATATAAAAAGCATGACAACATACTTCAGCCATACGGTAGAGTCTTGGATTTTCTTTTACCTTAAAGATTGAGTTTTCTTTCACTGGATTGGGACTTTAGAGATCAGGGGTGGGGAGGGGGTAATAAAATAGAGGAGGATGAAAGTTAGGGCTCATTAAAATTTATAAAAGTTGAAAAATAACCATTCTGTGTTTCTTTGTTCAGTGCAATACAACAAAAACATCAGCTTATTGTAATAAGAAAATAAATAAACCAATGCATTAGTCCATTAGTACCACAATCATTAAAATATAAGCATTCAGTTCTGAGAACACATCAAATACACAAAATCCATTTAAGGAAATGCTTTTGAAAATTGAATGACTATTGAACACTAGAACTTTACAAAGAACAACAGAGAAAAGTTCTAGAGATGCACCAAGCTCCTAAATCAGCCCTCAAGTAAGAAATGCCAATATTTAACATTTGAGACTATTTTATATCCAAAAATATGCAATGAGTGCTGCAGTGTCATTTTTATTCCAGTACAAACAATATAACTCTCTAAAGACATGGCAACATAAAACAAAAATGCTGTTATTGTCAGCAGAAAGGAGTGCAAGCCTGATAAACACGACTTGGAAATTCCTTTGGGTTTTGGCATCGCTTCACACTTATTTTCAAGTTACTAATAGGATCTGCCCATTTGACTAGCCATCATTCAAAGCTGCCATTTAGTTTGAAATGTCAAAAAAAGAAAAAAAGTAAAATGGTCTTGAATGTCTAATTGTCTCTTTGTCCTTGCTGAGCTGCTAACGACTGAGAGTATTATCTTTACTTTGTGTTTCTGGAGGGATATGATGGTCGTTGCCCAATCATGAACACTAAGCAGAGATGTTTCATTTAACAGTCTTAGAGAGAAATACGAAAACCTATCCTAGCAACCTAATGGCTGTGTGTATGCACACATGTACGCACCTGCATTTGCATGTGTGTTGGCAGGCGAGCGTGTGTGTGTATGTGTGTGTGTGTGTGTGTATGTGTGTGTGGCATACTCTTCCTGTGACACACTCATGCACCAGATGAAGCCAGCTGCAAAGAGGATGACTTACAGGCTAATTAGCGGGTGGAAGGACAAAGCAGGAATGTACTTTGGTTTCTTCAACTAGGGAGGTTTTTAAACTGGTGGCAGCTGGGGACCTACCTATAAATAATTAATGACAAAACATTCTGTGGCTTTCCAGGCAGCAATTTTCTTTGAAAGTCCTGTGATCGTCTTGGAACAGCACATAACAGCCACATTAAGGATCTCTGGGTGGCTGACCATGAATATTGAAACATAAATAAGCAGAAAAGACCTGACAGGGTACCTGGAGGTTAAAACATAACTCTTTACTATGTTGGCTTTGGTAAAACATGGCAAGGGTTTTTTCTCATTACAAGTAGTTCCAAGGAAAGATTAGGCATCTCTAAGCTTTTTTAACACCAAACTTATTGCTGAATTGTTTCATCCATTAAGGCATTAATTTCTTCGTTGTCAATTCATTATTTGACCAAATTGTTTTGGTTTCATTTTAACTCTCAGACAGCAGTGCACGTGATGCACAGGGGGGATCGGTGGTAAATAAGAAAATTACATCTCCTTTCCCATGAAATCAGAATCAATGGTGATTTAAGTAATGAAATAGAAATACAGCAATTCACAAAGAAGAGTAGAGAGAAGGGGTGGGATCAGAGGAGCTCACATAGATAGAAAGGAAGGCCAAGGGATCCATGGCAAGGGCAGTGACATTCAACAGCTCCAGCATCACCTGAGATGGCAAGGTAAACATGAACTCTGAGTCCCACTCCTGACTGACTAGATGAGAAACTAGAGGTGGGTCCAGCTGTCTGGTTTCAATATGCATTGTCCTAAGAGCAGGTTGAAACGTGAACACAGTGAAGTCCTTGGAATGAGAACGCCAAGTGGGTCTGATTCGCCCTGAAGTCCACTGCCTCTCCACAATCAGCCCTCTTTTGAACACAGACTTTCTGATACTTACCTTTAGTGGTCCATTTCTTTGCTCCTCATTACAGCAAAATTCTAAGAGAATCAAACACACCAATCAAGTTTGCTTGTGTCCCACGACATTGCAATTCTCCACACCAAAGTCACCAGTGACCTCACCTAGTCAGTCCATGGGACTTCAAACTTCACCTTCACAGAGTGTGATACAGTGTTTTCTTATAGCAAACCGCATCCTTGCCTGTCACCCTCACAGCTGCCCTTTATCTGCTTTACCTGTGAGCATTAGCTGCTCCAGAACTCAGGTCTGGGACCCCTCATCTACTCTCAAAGCAACCACAGCTCTGGAACTTCATTTACTTCCATTGGTTAGATACCACTCAGTCCCCAACTTACATCTCTGCCCTTTACTTTTCCCCAAACTAAGAAATTTCCCTTTTCTAAGTGGCTGTTTAACCTGCATCTTAAGATCATCTGCATCACAATAAGCAATTGATTCTCTCTCTGCAGCCTGCTTCTCCATCTCAGCGAATGACAGTGCCAGATTTGGCCTCTTTGTCCTCCCTGCAATCTTGGAATTATACATTTTCCTGCCTCCTTTTCACCCCCAAACACATAATCCATCCTGTTGAGTCTACCTTCCTGTGATTGCTACAACCCAAGCAACTCTTCAGCATCACCTCCACTCTGGTCCAGGCTGTCTCATTAGGGTGGTCACTGTGTCTTCTGCATTGCTGTTGTTCTTTGAAATTTTCATGCAAAATATTTAAATCATACCTCCTCCACTTCTGCCCAAATCTAGCACCCTTCCCTATCCACCCATGTGTGTGTCCAGTTTTAATTTGGAAAAAAAAAATTCAAGATCAAATTGTGCTGCCCAAATATTCAGACCTTCCTTCAGAGCATAGTTGACTTATCAGAAGATTCACTCGTAGAGAAAACTGATCCCTGCTTTTCCAGCAGCTAACAATTGCCAATGGTTCCACCACTAGGGATGAGAGTATGTGCCTATCAGAAGGTGGACTATGTGGGAACGAGGTCCCTTTGTTCGAGGGTAGCAGCATCCCTCTATTTGGAGGTGTCTCATTGTGTCACTATGCACACACTGAACTCTGGGAGGAGTACAGTGGCTGTCCTGGATAGTGTGGGATCCTTAAAGTGTCTCCGGTATCTCTACCCAGGAGAAGTCAGACACATCCACTACAAAAGTAATATCAAACCACCTCCAGGTATTGGTTGACTCATGTTCCCAGGAAAACAAGACACTCCTTGGCCCACCACTGCATTGGAATCTCTGCCCCTATCTAGAACTGTGAACATAATAGGATTAGTCTTCCTGTGATACCCTAACCAGTTTCCAGACTCACATAGGCCTGGCAGGTAAAAGTCATGTTTTCAAAACTCTAAAAAGGTAAGGCACAGTATTTTACTTAATGTGACATCATCTCGTTTCTAAAAACTACTAAAAATCTATCTACCTATAAGAAAAGATCTGGACATATCTGTACCAACCTGTTTGCAATTATCACACTGAGATTGCAGGCTGGAGAAGTAATAGAAGTGGTGACCTTATAATAACATGTTTCTGTCATGGTTTGACTTATTAGACAGCAAAATACAGTTTTCCAAATATGTTTGTTAATAGCAATGAACAATGCAGACATATTAGGGTGCACAGCTTGTGTAGGCCTTAAACTGGATGTAGCCAAGGAAAGCAAAAAGAAGCATGTACAGTCCCCATACCTTTTTGCAAAGTCACCCACCTTTTTGCGAAGATCAAGAGGTTAGCAATTGGGCTAGGGGTTTAGCTCAGTAGTCTAGGGCTTATATAGCGCAGGTAAGGCTCTGGTTCCATCCTCACAATCACAGAAAAAGTATGTAGTGGCTAGATGTTCTAGGAAAGCACATGTGAGTTCTTGGACTTTAAAGCATTGAAGAAGCTAATTTTGAGTGCATCTCTGTCTCCAATCATATCGTGTGTGCATGCATGCATGCATGCCTGTGTGCATACATGTGTGTGTATGTGTTCATGTGTGTGCATGTGCATTCGGATGTATGTTTGTTGCCTTTTGTATGTGCATCAGACACTTGACCAACTAAGTCACCTCCCCAGACCTCCAGTCACAGCAACTCTGAAAGACTAGAAATACCCAGTGCGTTGTTTCTCAAATCCACTGGGTGACAGTGACCTGGAATCTACACCACAGATACAGGATCTGAACACAGAAGTCAGGAAGGGGTGGGAAAGAGATTTATTTTTCAGAAATTAATCAGAAAGATGCTTTATTTATACTATCTTTTACACAATATACACTCATTAATTAATTACCTCATTTTGAATTGAATCAAACAAAAAGCAAATGACTTTTTCCTTGAAGCTAGAGTGCAATGCAATGTAGAGGGGAAAGGTGTATTTAAGCTTGTTATGTTTCTTCATAAACCTGTGTGGATTGGGTAAAAGCAGAGTTTAATTCAAATTTAAAAAGAGCACAGCAGCCTTCAGAAATAAGATTGTCTTTTATCATGAAAAATGGCCCACATTCTTCTGGATTTCAGAACAGAAGCCTAGCATCTGGTGAATGATTAGTCAACTCAGTTCGTCTGAGAAGTTTTTGAGAGAAAATGGTTATTAAAATATCAGCAGACAGGAGCTGAAGAGATGGCTCAAGAGTTAAGAGCACTGGCTGCTCTTTCAGAGGACCAGGGTTTGATTCTCAGCACCCATGAGTCAGCTTGCAGCCATCTGTAACTTCAGTGCCCGAGCATTTGACACCCTCTGCTGGCCTCCAGTGTATGTACATGGTGCACAGATATACAAAAAGGCAAATTAACCCAATCACATGAAAGGAAGAAGAAATAAATATTTTTAAAGTTCACAGAGTCATTCAACCTTCTTCTTATTTTATTTTAGAGCCTTTAGATGTCTTGCTAAGAGGATATCTGCCTACAGCAGCATCTTCACCCTAGCCAGGTGAACCTAGAGTCATCGTAGCATCTTTGAGCTACCCA